TAATTGATCGACGTGTTCGATTTAAATTAATTGATAAACTTGATAGAGTAATATTTATTATTTATTACATTTAAATAATTATTTTTCTTTTTTATTCAATTAGATGTTTGATAAACAAGGTTTACAATCGGACGATCTTTTATTATTTGAACAATATCGTTTATCAACTTTACTTTCATCATTTGATTCATTTACTGAGGTTAGTTTTATTAAGAAATATTTTATTTTTGTTTTTAAAATAATATTTTAATAATTAGTTAAAAAAACAAGATATTCAAACTGATGAAAATCGTTCTATTCTTTTTCAAAAATATCTTTTACAAGCTGAACGAATTATTCATTTTGAATCTCTTATTCAAATTCTTATTAATACTTGGTCAAAACAACAGATTAACAATATGAAAGGGTTCGAATTTTTTTTTTAATATTATTTTATTCAATTTTAATCTTCTTCTTTTTATGTTTTAGATCACATGGATTAATTTTAAAAAATGAATTAATTTTAGCAATGATTCAAAAAAATTCAGATTGGGAAAGAATATTGACTGAAAATATCGTTCAATTTGATGAAGAAGTACGATACTAAGACAACAATTTCTTTTCTAGAGATTTGCACCACATTTAAATAATGACATGATCAAGAAATTATGCCTTTCATCACAATAGAAAATTATTGTTAGACTCTGTCACTTAAAAAACCAAGTGCTATTGCTAAGAGAAACACTTTTTTACTGGAAACAAAATCACTGAATTTCCGATAAATGCCTTTAGAAAATCCACGGTCTTCTTTTATAGAATGACTTTTTATTCTGTGGAAGTATTCAAATCAGCAAATTTCAAATAAAAGTGTAGAAAATGTTCAGTTTTTTTGACTTGAGCATGGTTCTATTTTTTCTATGAGATTCTCAATTTGTTAGGATGCATATCCATTTTTCTTCGTATAATCAAACCGTATTGAAATATCTCATAGTAACTTAAATAAACCGAAGATTATCTCACAAGATGTAAAGAATCTCGAAATTATCAGGAAGACATAAGACATGAAAGCCCAGGTTATTTAACAAACTAATTTTGTTCTAGAATGAAATTCGATAATGAATATAATGATAGAAATCTTCACAAAAAAAACTTTATTACCAATTTACCGGATGTTTCAAATCTCTATAGACAAATAATAAAACCTTGATTCGTTTTGAAAAGATGTCTTGTTATATTCTCTATAATAATCATACTAAAAGATTCTCTTAACTTATTCCAATCGATTCTAAGAGGATTAAGCGGAAATATGGATAAAATTCTAAAGTTTTTTCGTTTTCTTTAATTCAATAGTCTTCTCTATTTGACCGATTGATGGTGTTTTTGCTACTTTGAAGTCTTTTAATCAATTTTCGAACATCAACCGAATCACTTTGGGCAGTATCTGTGTATTTAGTAATAAAACATCGGACAATGTGCTTGATTTTGATCATAAATTTCCATTTCTGAAATGTTTATTCTATTTTTATGCTGACGAAATACAGCATATCATTCTTACAGCTTTCTGTTTAATTCTCTTAGCATTGATTAGAATAAATCTATTTGCAAACATTTCACCACATTCCCGAATAAGAGTTTCTTTCGAGATTTTTGTAATTTAAAAATTAAAACTAATTAATGTTGTAAAATCAGTACTATGAGAAAAAACACAAAACTATATAAATAAAAGATTATATAACAATAGAACAAAATAGGATCGAAAGGATAAAATATTTATTTTGAACTGTCTCATATATGAGTTTGAGCATGTATGATAGTGTTCATTACATATTCACTTACGTAGCATAGCTATAGATACAGTGGTCGAAAAATGAATATCTTGTATTTTAACTTTTGCATAATCGATGTATATGTTTGATTTTATTTCAATTTAGGAAATGAGTTCATTAATACAATATTTATACAATTCAACAGACCTAACGTCCTACGCATATAAACTATGGTTAATAAATCCAATATCATCATTAGCCGATTTACTTTTTCGATCACCAGTAAATTATTATTTTTTATTTTATTTTCTTCAGTTGAGAAAATTCTTTCTTTTTTCATTTAGTCTGAATCAGTGATTGACAAAGAGTTTTTATTAATGTCAATTGAAAGAAATCGTGTTAATGATTTATTAACAATAAATCCTTTACTATTTGATTATTATTTGAATGAAAACCTTTCTCATGAAGAAAAACGCAAAATTCTAAATCAACTTGAAAATAATGAAGAATTTCTTGTAAAAATTGCTCAGCTATTTATTCATAACGAAGATTATTCATCATTTATATCATTTGGTCTAATTATTGATACTTTACAGAAATATTTTTTAAATAAATAAACAGTTTTCCCCCTTTTGTTTTTTGTTTCAGATAAAAATTTCTCAAAAAAACCAAATAAACAAAAAATGGTTAATGGTGAATTTTAAGAAAAGAAAATTTCTTCAAGTTAATTAGAAAAAAATATTTTTGTTATTTTATTTAGCGTATTCATTTGATGGTATAATTGTCTTTGTTTTATTGACAATATGTACATGTGGTTTTATGCGTCGTGTGCCAAAATTACGCGAATGGTTTTTATCGGAAAAGAAAGGATTTGCTGGCATTTTTTATAAAGGTTTGTTTTTTTTTTCTTTTATCTACGCTAAATAATCGTTCGTGTGTTTTTATTTAAGCGTCAATAATTGGTACTCGTCTTTCTCTTGTTGTTTCGATCTCATGTGTTACTATGGCTTTTTGGCTTGCGTTTTTACGATGAAAACTTCTTTTGTGATTAAATAAAATATTCATTTTTACATTAAATCAACGTTTAAAATGAACAATAATATTTCTATTCTAAAATTTAATAAAGAGATAAGGTGTTAGAAATTTTTTATGAAACTCGCACTTTTTTTTTTCGAAGTAATAAATAAACTAGGAAATGACAATCTAAGATAAGATTCTTCCGATCCTACTCTTACAGTGAGCTATTAAAGAAAGAATTTTTTTCTTAAAAACTAACACTTTTCACATGTTTTGACATATTGATTGTTATCATATTCATAAATAACAAGAAAGTAGAGATAACGGATCGATCATCCATAGTGAATACTAACTAGTTGAAAAATAAGTGATATTCACAGGTATGCTCATGTAATTATATTAGCAATACATATCGAAAATTTCGAAACTGACATTTCACGTCATTTTAATAAACGAATAGTAGATCTCTAAGTTAAACAAAAGATGGAAGACATTTAAAGAGCTTGAAGTAACAATCAAGCATTGATGAAAACAAATATGACATATTGGTGAAAAGAAAATCAACATCTAAACCCACTCTTTTTATATACATTGATCAGGTGCAGAACACTCTACAACTCTACAAATGTATATTTTGAATTTTACGTGATTGCTAATGAGAAATTGAAGCACAGTGAAAGTGTGCTCATCACCAAATTTCCCAGGAATTCATTTGTTCCTTTTCCATTCGTGTTTTAAATTGTTTTTGATATAAGAACCAGCTATCACAAAATTAGTATTTATTTTGAAGAGCACATGAAATTCTTTATAATCTTGGATGTTTGTCAGTATTAACTTTCATTTATTTGATGATAAATTGACTACTTGATATAACTCATATAGCAGTAAATGAGTTGTTATTCAGTAATCAGACCATTTTAGGGATAATAACTCAATTGCCAAATCTTATCTTAATCTTATATACAGTTTTTGTCTTGAAAGAACAACTATACACTAAGACATCGTCATAATGCTTAACAATACTTGACATAGGAAGGTGATACCTGAAGACATTAACAGTATTCGAAATATTTGTTATCAAATAATCGAAAGCCAAGACTATCAAACCAATAAGATAATAAAGAATTTCACGTATTCTCAGTGGAAGCTGATGAAAACTTTCGAAACCACTGGAGTCTATAAGTAATAGTAAACTAAAATTGGAATGATTAATTGATTTATCATATCTGTAGACTATTGATCCAGAGGCATTATCAAAATGTATTTAAAATTAATTAAAGTTACGATTGACTGCTCACCAAAATTCAAAATGAAGTGTCCTTTAAATTCGAGCCACTTTGTTTGGCACTGAAGTAAGTTTTAAACTTTTTAAAATTGTAAATAAAAGAAATTCTTCTAATCAGCATCAGCTGTTGCAGCTCTAAACCAATCATTCTTAATTGTCGTTACTAATGTAGTTAATCAATATTGTGCAACAGGTTTTAAACTTGTTTCATTATTGGCAGATACAACGTCTTGTTGAATGTTATCATGAACAAAAAAAAATGCTTGTATTCATCTAACAAAATAGAAAGAAACAGTGAATGAATCAAAGCATCTTTAAATCGACTTATTCTATCTGGCGATACTTATCAGAGTATTTTTGACCTTAAGCCCACATGAGCAAACATATATGAACTTGTAAAATAATACTGTCTTTTTCTTCAGGCAGGTTTACCTTCTTCTAAACAAGAAGTAACAATTGAGGGAAAAAACATGAAATACCTACAAATAGTAAAGGTATGTAATAATTAGCTTCAATTCATTATCTTATGCAACATATAGATGCAGAGGCTTGATGGATAAAACAGATTTTATGACGAACTCGTCACTATTTGAATCCAAATTATTTGTCTTAAATTAAAGAGTAGCTGGTTCTACACAAATAGGTACAGCACTTATTACACTTCTTTCAAAGCACATGGCAATGAACATAAATATTATATAATATCTAGTGTATCAATCTAGATACATAAGATAAAATTTTATTTATATCAATAAACATGTTTCTGGATTACATTTTATGAGTAGATAATCAAGAATAAATGTGGAATTATGACAAGTAGAACTATCAGATTACAAATTAAAGAACAAAATTACAATTTAAAGAAAAAAAAACAGTGAGTAAATTTTAATAGTAACAACATAATTAAGAATAGATTCACAATTTTTATTTTGAATCATACAAAAAAAATTTCATTTTTTATATGAATATTTTCCAATTAAAAATAACATTGGTAACATAATTGCTAATGAGCTGTATCCCCACAAGTGTTGACTAATCATTTTCATTCCTGTAACTCTTGAATGTTTTTGATCAGTATCCATTTTTTTTTTCATTTCCGCTAATTCTTCCTTAAGACATTTATATTTTCCATCCAATTCTAAACGTTCTTTTTCTTTATCAACTGCTTTTTCTTTTTCTTGAATTAATTTTGCTTTGTCATCAACTAATTGTTGAACTTCTCTAATCAACTTTTCTTTTTCTTCAACTAATTGTTGAACTTCTTTAATCAACTTTTCTTTTTCTTGAATTAATTTTGCTTTGTCATCAACTAATTGTTGAACTTCTTTAATCAACTTTTCTTTATCTTCATTTATCTTGGTTTTCTCTTCAATTAATTTTGTTTGCTCTTGCATTAACTTTTCCTTGGTTTCACTCAATTCTTTAACCTTTTCATGACGGTTTTTGTTTTCTTCGACAAGATGTTGTGTTTGTACTAGTAACGCTTGTACATCATTTATGATGTCTGATAAGTTTCTTTCACCATTCAAATGATCCTAAGGGCAAATAAAATAGTTTAAGTTATTTTTTTTTACTACTAAATCGATTTAGTTACCATGATGATGGAAGAAAAAAAAAGTTACAAATGAAAAGTGATGTTCACTACAAGATAGATAAAAGAAATATCATATTTGTAGTTGAAAATGTAGATAGATACTTACAATGTTTTTTGGTTTGCACATTTATTTCACTAGTGAAAGATGAATGTAACTATCTAAAACATAACATAGTGGATGTATATATATAGATGTCGACCGCAACACGAATAAAGAAAACAAAGAAAGAAGGAATGCACACTTAAACGGACTAACATTCACATTCTTTTCGTCTAGGGTATCCACTTTTTCTTTGTATCGTATAAACGATAGTTGGATATACAATAAACCGTAACCATTTGTTCAAGAAAATTAAGTATATAACACTAGTCAGTAGGGACATCTATATGAAGAAAATTATGATAATCTCAGAATTTATGCTATTGGTTTATTTCTGTAAATCAAATATATGTTTGAGCTTGAGTTTCATGCAGTGCTTCTGATGACAGATATACCAAGCAGAATCAAAATGTACAGAACATCTGCTGTCCCCCAATATAGAAATTGTTTTATACTTTGTTTCGAAAAATAGAGTGTACATATTACACTTTGCTGAACAAAATAACACATTAGTTTCAAAATACTTAAATTTATTATTAAAGAGAAAAATGAAGCATCTAATTTACTCAGTTTTTTTTAGAATATGTTACTTCTACTTTTTAGATTCTCTTTGAATATATTATGAGAAAAAGAACAAAAATATATCTTTTACTTATTCAATGTTTTTTTTATTATCGATAAGTTTTTTCTTCCTTTTTTTTTCTCAATACATTATTTAAAATACGTCTTTTTTGTACACTTCTATACGTTCGTAAAAGAAAAGTTTACAGAAATATTTAGTTTTGGATTTCATGAGAAACGCTGGTTTCGTGCCATTGATGGATTATTATCCCTTTTTATAAGCATCTGAGGTCATCTACATGAAGACAAAATATAATCTCTCAATCACTTGTAGGACAATAAATAGCTTTAAATGGATTAATTCAAAAAATGTTACAACAAGAATATTCAAGACATATAAAAGGTTTGATATTCATCAAATGAATGAATTCAGTGTAGCAAAAATGTTTTTATTTTATAAACTTATATCTTTTATACCTTTGAATCATCTCTTAAACTTTTCTGATGTTCGCAATGTAGCATTCGTAAAAAATCATTGTTCACTTATCTTTCTTATTTGACATATTATTCCCGTTTCTCGAAAGCAACAGAAGCGGACCTAATTCGACAGCATTACAGGGTCGAGACGACCCATGGTAAAAGACTCAAGTGAACTCGGATGGTCTTAGCCGACGTCGAAAAATCTACTTGAAAAAGCTTGGTCTCAATGAGACCATGGCGCCGACTTTTCAACTGACAAGAACAGATACTATACTTGGATCTTAGCAGATAAATATGATCTTTCTATCTTAAGATTGTCCATATACATTCTATGTTTGTATCGACTAGAGAACAATCCAATGTTTTCGAAATAAAAATATCACTTAGTATGATTCATATTTTGAAACGATGGAAATCATTCCAACATGGTTCATAGCAAATAGAGAGAACATATTTGTAAAGATAAATCCTTTTTACTCAACTATTCGATAATCATTGTACTTCTTTTTTTCACTTTAACTTATTTTATATTGACGAAAAGTGCGACATAGGTCAGAATGATGCTACTTTCTTCTTATTCGTTTGTTGTAAGATGTTGCTATGGCAGCACAGTCTTGCCATTAACCCGCACGTTTTCGTCATTACAACACGTATTTAATCAGATTTCTTTTCAATGTTTATACTTCAGATTATATTCCCTTGTTTGTTTCAACAAAATATATACATGCAAGAATTCAATTAAATAGAAAAAAAAAGAAATAACGTAAAAGTCAGATTTACGTATATGTGAATTTCATTTCTAATAAAAATATGAAAAATTTGTTTAAAAAAAACCAAATCATATGTACAATGCGTAGTATTAATGATTAATTATAGGATTTTGAAGTATCAAATCATAAATTTCTGTCCAAATTCTCAGAGAAATTTTTACAGGTATTTTTGTATTAGTGTCCCATGAATGATATATATCATATAAACAATAATTTGAAAATCGAAAGTTTGGACTAAAGTCTCGTTCAATATATTCTGATCATTGAACAGATACTGGTTTGACATGGTGTTCACTAACTTCATCACGTTTAATGACGAATTTAGCAGTGCATTCGAGAATACTTTGAATTTGAAAATGATAACTATATCGAAGTAACATGACAAACTACTTGAATAAAAGATGACCCTGCCTTTGGACTTCATTTTGATGCTTCGCTTGCGCTACAAGAATAAGCAACAAGCATTTTCAGTGATAAATCATTCTTTATGACACCTTCACATTTGTTACATCGCAAATATTTTGGCCATTCTGATCGACATGCTTGAACAAAAAATAGGCGTGGTTTTCCATTCCAGATAGTTATTGGTGATAAATCAGTATGGCGTTTTACGATATCTCGTATAACAACTTCTTTTGAACCAGCTATAAAAAATGAATGTATAAGTCCATGAGGCATAATAAATACAAAAAGACAATCATAATTTCCAAATTCATTTTGATGATCGATATAATTTAATGCTTTATCAAGATCATCTTTTTGTGTACTCAAAAAGTGAGTACACTCTAGAATCGGTCGGTGTGTCCGGCCGTTTACACGATAACTATTGAAAGGAGAGTTCAATCGCGATGAAATTTTCTACACAGTTCAGCCTTAACAATATCTCGGTCGAGGCCAAAGATGAGCATGATTGGCCGAGCAGTTCCTGAGTTATTGCAAAAATACTCATTTTTTCCTATGGCTTCCTATGCGAAAATCGACCCATCCCCGC